TCATTCGGCGTCAGATGTACGCAGCTCGGCTCAATGATAGGATAATTTTAAATTTGTTGGTTTTCAACTACTGAAGGAAAGTTAAAACATACCGTAATTTAAAATAAAAATATATTGTAATCGTATACTTTCCATTATTGGTAAAATAAAAGTTTTTAAGTGACGGTTTAAACGCATGAGAATGGTTGGAATATCAACTTGACAGTGCGCCAAGGTAAATTTCAAGAATACCAGTGTATAAATACCTACATGAACCAATTCATTTGGGTTTTCTCACCCTCATATCTCTGCTTCCTCCTTATATGGACATTTGAAATTTGAAACATACATTTAACTTAAGTACCTTTGGACACTGCACAAATTGAGCCTTTTCAAAGAGGGAGAATATCAAAGTTTACATTTTTGTAAGGTACTTACACACTCATCATCAAAATTATAAGGCACTTACCGTATTGGTAGAAACCTGAAATGTAGCACAAAGGTACATGTTTATACTAAAATTTAATGTCTATACTCTTATGTGCAGTACTACAAGTATTGAGTTAATTTGGTGTCAAGTGATTATAAGAATTTTCAAATTAATGAAATTAACACGATTTTTGAACTTTTTTTATAACAATTAGGTTCATAACTATAGTAATATAGACTATAGTATAACAGTATCAAAACACATTTTATACTTAAAAACGAGCGACATTTATTTAAAAACCCCATAAAATAATTTCTTTGTTTCGAATGCGACGACTATTCTACCAAAATCGTACCAGGGCCTCATGTTCATAGGCTATAGCTCACCGACTTAACCATCCGGCGTCCGATGTATGCAGCTCGGCTCAACGTTAGGATAATATTCAATTTATTGGTGTTCGCTTACTGTAAGTACACTGTAGGAAAGTTAAAATTGTACCGTAATTAAAAATAAAAATATATTGTAATCATATACTTCCCATTGTAGCTAAAAAAAATCGACCCTCTTCACAAAGACTTTTAAATCGCATATTGAACATTCTCGAAGGTCTTTTCACAAGTTTTTAATCGACGGTAGTTAAAATCGTGTCTTTAAAATTCAGAGTTATGCGATATTAGAGAAACCCTATTAAGTCTTGTGTACCCATTTTAATTATTTAAAACTTGTTATCGACCAGTCAAAATGTTCAGTAAATTATTATTTAATAAAATAATCAACTAAATACATATGTTACATATTTATATTTAAAAAGTCAATAAATCTTTGCCGAATACTAAAAAAAAAAAAAGAATACTTTCTAGTTTCTATAGGGTATTTTGTACTCAGTCTGCAGTCAGCTTAACTATAAATATATAATTAATTCGTATTATTAGTTAATACATATAATTACAATTTAGATAATTTAAACCAGTTATTTGATACAAAATAAAAATGGTGCCCCGCAAAAAGTACAACTTATAACTTCATGGTCGAAATGAGATATTTTCATAGGTTAAAGGTGCCTAGAGGCTGTATAAAAATTTAGCGTAAATAGAACATTGGCATTTCCATTATCCTGTGTTCTCATTAAGTCCAATTTCCTTTCTGAAAAATGTTATGAATTCCCCATTAATTATTATCTTTTCTATCGATTGTAGCATATTATTTTCCAATATTTTACAGTACTTTAAAAAAAAAATTAAAACAAATAATAAGAAAAAATAGCCTTTATAGCTTACAAAAATTGAAAAATAATAGAAAAAAAAATGAATATTTATGTTCACAAATTTTATCATAAATGGTTTTAGTGTAAAGTTGCCTATATAATCACCGTCGCGAGGCCTCATAAGAGTTTTTATATGTACCTACTTAATTGCCTAATTTATTAAATATCAATACATTTATAAATAAAATACAATACAAATTCAGTTTTACATCATTTTAAAAATGTGTATGAATTCAAAATAATTGTTTAACCACCAATTCGATTATTATTATTTTTTTTTTTTGTAATTTTTCTCTGGAATATCTGTTGTCTACTTAAATGTATCAAGTACAAAAAGTATTACAATGTTAAGTTACAATTAACGATCAACAAATATTATTTAAGTATAACTATAAGATTTAGACCCTCAAAATTTTAGTTTAGTTGCGCCTAATATATAACTTTACAATTTTTATTTCAACTTAAGTTAAACTTAATAGAACATTTTGAATTAATATTTTGTATTGTCCTAGACTAAAACACTTATACGTTTGTATTCGACTCAATTTGGCCTCAAGATTGTCAAATGAAAAACAATAATACTATACCTACTAAAAAATGACTTGATCATAGTCGTACATAAACATTATTTTTTTTATAGTAAATTAAATTTAATGCCCTTAGGCACTTAAAAAAATTAAAAAAATAGTAAATTAAATAACGCTACTAAAATAATTACTAATTATTTAAAATACTATATAATTACTATAAAGGTAAATGGTAATCCATTAATTGGAATAAACTTTCACTGACATTTTTAATTGTAAACTTTTAGGGCAACTTTCCACATTTTTCTTTCCACTAAATCTTATTTGGACTATTACACAAATTAAAAAAAATGAAACAAATCGATTACGAACAGCATTACATTTTTATTTATATAGAAGATCTTATTATCTTACAATTACTACATCTATGAAAATGAGCAATTTAAATACAAACTTTTTTTTACAAAACTTAATGTAATTTAACAGTTAATGTCAGAGATGATTCATATAATACAAGTACATGACTTAATAATGTTGGGGTGGAAAAATAGTGTAAAGCCGTATCTAGTAATAATGACTGTTCAAAAATCAGTTAAATACTTAATTGTATTAAATTCAACTATAACATTAAAAATAGTTTTGCTTTATTAGAATATATTTTCCCCTTAAAATTTTAAATGGCATATGTTATAAACTTAATACATTATTAAATCGATGGTAACAATGCAAAAGTACAATAATTCTTCAACAGTAAAATAACAATTTTGTTTGTTAGCATAAACGACACGACAAAAATTTAATATTACTTGATAGGTAAAGTTGTTGAAGCAAAATCGAAATTTTAACAGATCATAAAACAAGTTTAGTATACCACGTTGGCTATTACCAGTATATTCAATAACATATTTAACACACAAATAAGTATCTAAAATAAATTGTACATTCATATTAGATTGCCATAAAGGAAATAAGTTTCTGTTAAATAAGAGTTAGGGTCTTAAACAAGTTTAGTTTAAACATTTTTAAAAGATAATTTGTCTAAATGTTTAAAAATACACAACAATTCATCGAAATTGTTAATGCCGTAATGGCGTAATGTATACCAATTAAAATTAATAGTCGGTAATTATCATATTTTATCAATTATCTCTGCGTACAAATGAGATCGATTAACATAGTTGAAAATTGATCGGGGGCGAACTAATAGATCTTCATCAGCACCGACAGATTTATGTACACATTGCATTTAAGGATGATTCTTGTCTCCTAAAAATGAAAAATTTTTATAAATAGTCTTCGTGGACAATATTACATAATCAAATTTCTTTGAATTGAATTAAGTATCCAGTAACAAAATATTAATATTATATCAACTTTCATATAATATTATAGTACTAAAATGTTCACCAATTGAAAGAGAACTCTATAATTTGGGACATATCCATGTCTTTGTATATGACGTTACGGAGCCATTGTAGAGTCCATCTTTAGAGCAATGAAGATAGACTCTGCAACGTCGGTACATACAAAAAGACACAGATACATATAAAAATTATCAATTTAATATTATGTTTTTTAACATTGTGGATTAGTCACATTTGCACAAATTAAATGGCATTTTAAATTATTTCATCGTGTTTAACAAATAAACACGTATCTTTTACGCTTTGCATAATTTGTTGTAGTTGAATAATAACAGTGACACCACTGTTTGTTAATAAATGTTTTCTAAGTCAAAAAAGATATTGGAAATCATACTTGTATACTTTTCCAGGTCGCTCACTTCCAGCTCGTATGGCTCTTTGTCCAACCTATATGAATATAGCCAATGAGTCCAGCCTATATTTGTCCTTTATATAAACTGGAACGGTAGTAAAGTAATCAGCACCGTACGTCAAATTAACCAATCCGCAGTCAATAACTGGATCGTAAAAAAAGTATAAATAAAGCTATTTAAATAATAATCCGAAATTAAATAATAAAATATGATCATTTACTAACCAATAACGATTCCATAAATCATGTTTTAACAGATGTTGGTGAAAAAAATTTACAAGAAATTCTCCGAGCAGGTTAAGTGCACTTATAATCATTCATCTTATTCATCCATGCACCAGAACAGGAAACAGTTTTATCCTAAAATAAAAATGTATGATATTTTATTGGCTTAATCTTATGTTTAAAAATATTCAATTTTTTCAATTTTAATTACAGTTTAGATCGTTTGATAAAATAATTAAGTATTTGGTTCTAAAAAAATGATTAAACAGAAATATCAATACTTCTAAATGTATTTTATTAAAACCACAATATTAAACAGACTCAAAAAGTATCAAGGACATACAACTTATGCAATAATAAATATTAAATACTTGTGTGTTACCTCTCAAGAAAAATTATTTAGTTTGATACAATTTTTTTTGTGATATTGTCATCAGCGGCATCACTCTACTTAAAATTTAAAAAAAATTGAAGTTGTAAAGTGTTCGTTGTTGCAGGCAGTAAACTAGCTGTAATGCTGGCCGTTTCTAAAAAATAAATGATAGATTAAATAAAGAACTAATCAGTTTTCATATAGACTAATTAAATAACATTTCTGTATTATTACTTTTAACTTTTTTTCAAAATACCCATTTAAATACCTGTCAATAAACTTCTCTAGTTTACTTTGCCTAACAGTTGACTAGTAAGAGTAAGAGATTACTTATCGTTTCATTCAACAAAATACCTTATCATATAATAAAAAAAAAGAAAGATGAATAATAACAAATACAATCATTTTGTAGTGCTAACACTTTACCTTAATTTTTGTATTAGGTTCAGAGCAGTTATACAATCTTACTGAACAGCCAACAGTTGATCGAGATGTTTTTTTTGTTTCTGGTGCTTCACAGCTTGTCAAAGTCTTGGCACTCATTTTGGGAAGTACTAATATGGTGATTGCGGCCTCGTATTATAATTAAGCACTATCAGAAAAAAATATTTTTTTTTTTATTAGTTTGTAATTGTATTTTATTATTGATATATTTCCCTCAGAGAAATATTGATCTGATGCTTTGTATTTGCAGATTTCTCGTAGCGGGTTATGTAAAATAAATGCATAATTATTTACTTTGACTACCTGTGATACTCGGGTACTCTTTCTGCTTTCAGTAGATCCCGCAAGTATTGATGTTTGAATTTTCTCATGTAGACATACATTTGGTTACGATACTTTATAATCAGGACCTAATTACTTTGTAAATCCAGTGACGTGAATGGCTTGTAAACAAAAGTTGAATAAAAGGTCAATTCAAAATTTGAATCTTCTACTCCGTACTCAGGTTTTCCATCTGTAATTATTATCAAAAAAATTTAACAAAATGTAAGTATAAATTTAAAAAAAATAAAGCTCAATTGACCACATATATTTGATTACAAACAAATACTAGTTTGTTTACCGTAGACAGATAGTTTTGATTTAAAAAGAATTAAAACGATTTGTTTATACCTTACTGGTAACTTGAGTTATCCTATCGACTAGTGTAAAAATTAGTAGTACTAAATGCAGTATAATATTAACCAACCTTTGTTTTTGAGTCGATATCCAATCATTTGTACACGACACTAATACAATTGATTTACAAAGAAAAGAACTAATAGCAAAAACTGTAGAAGAACTACTGTCTACTGTGTAAGTATGATGAATATTATACATTTAGTCATTTGTTTTCTAAGAATAATTATTACAATACTCGTGAGTGCCTTGTGAAGTTCAATCATACAGTAATATTATAGCTGAATACTGATTATCGATTTGAGATTATTATCAGTCACATCTTATCAAATCTTATCAGTAATAATAACACAGAACAAACCGAAGGGAAACTTAGACCGGGACTGATAAGTTTCTGACATTTTGTTTTTGCTGACAAATTTTGATTTTAAAGGTATTAGGACTTTTATTTTAGTATAATGCATACAATATTATTAATATTAAACAACTGTAATATATGCAGCCTTATTAGAAATTAGAGCAAAAACATTCAACGGAAGTAGTCATAGAGTATAGATGATGAAAAATATTTTTTTAAGTTACTTACCTATTTAGTTTATGGGATTATGAGCTTCTCTAAGAATTCGAAAAAACGTATGATTTCAGGTAATTAAAAAAATAATAAAATATGTATCAATTTTCCCTAATTATAGCTTTTAAATAAAAAACGAGGCCTAAGTTTAATTAAATAAGTAAAATAGGAATATTTCGTTTATGTAATTATATTGTTGTTATTGGTGTATTATGTAAATGTTTTAAAACCGTATGAACTGAATTTTAAATCATAACGTGTATATTTTATTAAATTAATAAAAATTTGATGAACATTTTGACTGGTCGATAACCAGTTTTGGGTAATTAGTTTTCAATTTTAAAAGTTATGACGGGAGGGGAAGGTTGAGTAATGCGCGCAGATAAAAACATCTCTACTCTCTACCCTTCCTCCCGTCCTAAATTTTAAACTTTAATAACTGAAACTAATTATCCAAAACTTGTTATCGACTCAGCAAATAATTCTTAATTCAAAATGTTAATCAAATATATACGTCACTATTTAAAAAACTCAAGTTTAGGTGAAGTCAGGTAACGCTCCCCGTTATATTATAAAGTCCCTTGTTCTGGCGGCGAAACCTATAAGGTAAAGTTGATAAATTAGATAAAGTAATAAGTAATAATAAAATAATAAAAATACGGACAAGTAGATTCGTTCGCCTAAAGAATAAAAATATTATATAGGTACCGTTAAACCTTTTAACTGCCGTTTTCTAAAACCATTACAGCTTACTAAGGTCCAAGCCCATCAATAAACAAATAAATTAAAACTGGTACATTATTGATACAGTGGCCAAAACTGGCACATCTATCCTATTATTTATTTTACATAATAACTATATGTTTTAAAGTTAATACATTATCTATATGTCAGTTCTTTTGTAGGTACTTGCTAGTTGGTGTATACAAGTCGATATCAAAGTGAAGGGTAAAAACAAACTCGGAAAGTATTAATAAAGAAAAAAAAAATTTATTTATCTACCCGTTGCTTAGTGACGACCGCTAGAAATTACATACGTAGATGTTTATTTTATACACGTCAGAATTTAAATCAATCATAATAATTTATTATAACAGTGATGCAACGCCGTCGATTTTATCAGCTCGTTTTCCACTTGTTCGTTTCGGTAGGAACCACCAGACGAGCCGTGGCCGAAAAAGCACAACGCGCTTCTTATCAACAACGGGTACAGGTCATGACTTCCATGACTTCTCCTCTGGCCACGGCGGGATACAAGTAAAACGTCCCGGACCGGGCAAACTTCAACTTACAAAACAGATTGTTCGCTTCATCGTCGGACCAAACCCTAGTTTGATTTATGGGCTTTAAATCGTCCGGAGCACAATTGAACGCCAAAGGTGGTATTGTTTTCAACTGGTAAGGATATTTCCGCATCCGGTCTCGGTTCACCGTTTCCACAAAGCCATAATCAACGCTGTGAACCGTCAGCCACTTCTGTCCGTTTTCTTCGTACCCGTTTACAATCTTACATTGACACCATTGCGTTGGTTCGATGCCAAAACCGAGTAGACTTGGCAATTGTTGTGGCCTATGTTGACGCTGATGTGCTTGGCGTTTGCGTGCTTGGCCAGCTCTTCTTTGATCATCGACAACACATTGCTGTTAGCTTGGAGCTGTACATAGAAGTCGGACAGCGAGTTCACGTCCGTCACTATAACCGGCTCCACAACGTTCCGGGGGTATTGCTTTGACAGCGGTTTTATATTACATCTAAAATATTATATTGTTATTATTGCAATTATTTTTAACCAACAATAATACATGTTGTATATTACATTAGAATTTACACAAATTTATTTATTCGTCTATTATAGGTACAAATGAATTGGAAATAAACAAAACTTAAAATGTAATCTATATTATTTTAATATGTAAAAAAAATTGAAGTTACGAGGTTGGTTCGCATTACCAAAATTTACCACTGCTGTTTTAATTTTGGATAACAGATTTTGAATATAACTTATTACTTTTTGTAGGATTTACTTGAGTAAGTCATGCATTAGGCAGGCTGTTGGATAATGCACACATGACTGAAATTTTGTAGCACACCTCAGCCTGCCGAATGGATTTTAATTTTTCGCTGTAAGACTTAACATCCCTTATATAGAAATATATCTACTTAGGGTTAAGCTCAATGGCAATTAGGGCTTGATCATAAGGAGGATATAAGTATAATACATAATATGGATTATGTATTAGAATATAAAACATAATATAGGTATTTATCTGGAATATGTATAAGGATGGACAATTTTTTTTAAAGCTTTGTTCATGGCCCCTTTATAGTTTTTTATAGTAGATAGTGAGCACCAACGCAATGCCATTTAAATCACCATGAGTCCTCCTTTACATAAGAATTTGGGATGGCTTGAGTTAAAACTGTTGTTATTTTAATATTTTGTTTTTTGTATTTTAAAGATGACATTTAAATTTTGAAGGAATATATTTCCTTTATTGTTTTGTTATCAGCCTAGTATAGGCCGAAAATATTTTTTTATATGTATTTTTTAACCACCTTAAATCAAATAAATCAATATACCTTGCGTTTTATTAAGACAATCTCGCTTTTGGAAAATATATTTTAGAATGAAACTTTTAGTTTTTGTTGTGGATTACTGTTTATCATCACTTGGTTAAAATGATTTATTACATAATTAATTGTAATTTTATTAAATGCAACAATATAATTAACAATAGGGTATGTTAATCGTACCCATCGTACATATAGTATTATTTAAATACAAGCTTTTACATTTTTTTTTTCAAACATAGTTAATCAAAATTTTAAAATATTTATAGAATAACAGCAATAAAATTGAAGAAAATGAAATATTCTTATCCCATAGTGATAGTATAATCAATGTTTATTATTTATATTAAGAAGCAGAAAAGATAAATGGTACATAATAATAGTATCTATAATGTAGAAAATTGGGTAAGAAATTGATGAGAAGTGTTATGGCCGATTGCAAAATATTCCTAATAATTTTATAAATATAAAAAACACATCTTTGTTTCACATATTGATATTGTGATTATGTACCTTAAAGGAAATTACAATAATTATAGAAAGAAATCATTGAAATTATCATTTGTTAGAAATTCGCCAAAAACTGTAGCAGATCTTTTAATGATTTGTAGTTTAACATTAAATAATATGCATTAATCTTGCGTTATACATTTTATTTCAACCTTATGTTTAAACAAAATGTTAACGATTTATTTTCTTACATTATAATATACTGTAACGTCGCTACTTGACTAGCTTACCAAACTAGTCTGAGTGCTCGTCGATAAGGTTAAAGTAGACGGCCCCCGACGGGAAACGGTTGGCTAGTCCGCTTTACGCCTAAGTAACCCTAAAGTCTCCTTTATAAATTTACTATATCGCCCGAGGAGCTTAACGGGCGATCACACTAAAATAACGGTAGTCGACACTCAGGTTATGCAGGCTACAAAGTATTTATTAATAACTAAAAAGCAGTGGCAAATCAATATACAAAATATGCAAATATATATATATTTATACAGTCTGACCTGAATACTGGCTGGTGATGATTGGGATCAGACCGGAGTCGAGCGGTGCGCACACAGAGATGACCGGTGATAACCGTAGGCGAATTAAGGTACACAAATAATAAGTAAGAAGGCTGTATGGATGCGTAGGCGCGTGATGGTAAATCTCGACTGGTTAATTAGATGATACGCGAATGTCATCTCAGTGTGTCAGCGCTCCCTACCTAATTAGGTCATTAGTGATGTGTCCATAGGTTCGGGGCGCGAAGTAACGGTCGGGCGAAATGTGACCGTTACAACTTGCCCCTCCCCCGTTGAGGTCCGACCTCGGACCTTGCCATACAAAATAAGGGGTAGTCAACAAAAAAAGAAAAACTAATAAAATTAAAAATGTTGAACAAAGCTCCTGAAAACAAAGGTATGGATAAAAGGGGAAGGCACACCTATAGCTTGGCGAACTTCTGGCTAGCTTCTGTTGTATTTCCTAACTTCTCGGCCTGTTGAGTCCTTGAGGAAATCCCTCGGTTGAGTCTAGCCCATGGTCGTGTTCCCGTCACATAGGGCTGACTCGCCCTGTCGTTGCTTTCTTGATAAAGCTCGGGGCAAAAATCCTAAATCCATTGGTCTTCTCAAAGTTCCCCTTACTCATAGTGGCCTTTGTATAATATTATTACTTACATTCAAAAAATGAAATTGAGATTAATTTATGTAATTATGGGTCACAACAGGTGTGAGTGTGCGTCCTATGAAAAATGGTGATAAAAAATTAAAATGTCATGGAATCACATATTTACGCATTTAAGTTAACTTAATGGTCGTGGGGAAAAAGCTGCTTAAAAAACCACGCCATATACAAATGTCCTTAAGTTAAAGAACGCACACATCAGGGGTGTTTCTAAATCGTGTGGGAGTCTTGAAAGTTAACATTACAAGTCAAAAAAATAAAAAAATAAAAGAAAATAGCCCAGTATCCAGGTCGTATTAGTTTTTTGTTTTTATCAGAATATTATATAAACATTATGCAAGCGATACAAAAATACAGGATTGTTTCTTGACGTTAGCAGACTTGCGCCGTAGGTATCGCATGCGCCTATCATAATTACTCAAAACGGGAACTATACTATGTGCTTTATACAATAC